GGACGTGTATACGCGTTATGATTATTCAATAATCGATTTCGATGAGGTCCTCCATATGCTCAAAGAGCACGGACGGTAACTGTTGTCTGATATAGTGAAAATAGACGCCTCACCATGTAGCACACTCTCCCGGCTTAAATCGGTGACAAGACGGAGTCGAGATGACCGAGGAGGAATCTGGCGTAAGCCGCTTTCTGCAATGCAGGCCAGAAGCACCGCCTAACTTAGTTTAAAGTGGCAGTAGCCTTTTGAACTGGTGCAACTGCAATACTTACACCCACTCGTTATCAGTAGGTGTACAGAAAGACTGAAAGAGACTGAGTCTGATATTTTTGCTACAGGTACTACTATTTATACTACTGCTTCCTAGCACTGTAGCTGAGTGATAGTAGTACTGGTACTATAAGTGACGCTAATGTTTGGTCAGAAATGACGCTGATGAATGACAGTGAAAAGTTAATTTTCCCTTGATTTCCACAAAGAGTATGAGTGTGTGTTATATGGGTGGGGCATTAGAGTGGGAAGGAGGATAGAAAGAAACAAAATAATATGCTAATAAATCTAAAGCCAAATATAGCTTAATTAAGACAGTCTAAGTCATTACGTCTGACACACTTTTAAGCGAGATATTAAGTTTACATCAGCAAAGTAAAGACGAGAAATATAAAAAAATGACATTTAATACTTTATATTAAAAAAATTGTCTAGGTGAATGCTAATAATCTGTTTGTTTTGAGAAGCCTTTTGGTTACTAGGCAATCAAAAGAAATTTGCAATTAGTCCACTGAATATCCGACCATATACGTTAAACGACCTGGATGACTAGTATGGCGTGCAGAATTAGCATAACCTACTATCATATCTACGTTTCGTTATTCGTAGCCAGAAGTTACGCGGTACTGCGGTGTAGATTGTTTGGTAGACAGCAGCACGACCTATTAGCGAACACGATCAGAACGGCATCCAAAACTACATAAATTACAACTGCAGTATGTCTTTCCCTCATAAGCCTAGGCATGACTTACGGGATTTGACTTGCTTTATTCTTCCTTGCCTCAAGACTGGCTCTTATTGACTGCATAATATCAAGTATTATTCCATCATTTTACAATATAATGAATGCACTATTTGGATGCGATAATTATCGACAATTAAGTCTCCTAAGTTTAATTTTAAAAAACACTGAACATGCGTCTTTTGTGAAGATCTAAGCAAAATTTATTAAAGCTTTCTTGTAAAACGATCTATGCCTTTGAGTGAAGTTTTTTTGTTAAATACAGTTAGATAACATAGTCAGTTTATCTGTAAGCTGCTGACGATCTGTTTTGCAAAGATTACATTGCGTAAAGTACAAACTACGCTTCATACGTCTTTGATAACATGCCCCCCTCCTAGCTAACGAGTTTGGAGAGGTGCTGGACGACAATCTTCCTGTTAATTGCGGGATCTGCCCGACACTTCCTGGCGTTCGTCCTCAGCATGGTAAACTCGAGGCAATTCCACACAGCTGGCCATGGCATTTAAGTTGACAAATCAGTAAAACACAATTGTTATCCTGCAACCTTAAACAACTATACTCAAGGTAATGTAAGCTTAGTTGGGTTCATAACTGCAGCCACCTCACCTTCTCAACAAGCCAATCCTTAGCTCCCTGTGGTTACTTGTAGTCTTACTTGATTTATGTTACTTTACTTTTATTTCATTATTAAGTTTATTATTTTAATTTTAGTTAGGTTTACTTTCTTAATCATTTATTTTATTTTTAAGTCACACAGGGTTGTTATTCACCATCTCCCAAGCCAACAGCTTTACAAATGCCCGGGAAATTATTGAGGGTTTAAAAAATGGGGAAAAATAAATCTTTTCTGGTTTAACTTAAACCTCTAACTTTGAATATATAGTCTACATATTGGTATTTGGCAATGGGTATTTTCGCTCAGTTCTTGTTAAATATTTATTTTTTCACCGTTATTATCGCGCGACAAATATTGTGTTATTTGAATAATCAGTCCTATCATGTTATGCTTTTAAACGCTCTACGTTTTAATTTGTTTTTTTTCTTTCCACTGATATCACGCACATGTAAAATGCCTAGTACTGTCAGTCCGGTTAGACAGGATACTTAAGATTGCCGCGCAGCCTTACAGTTGCCGACAAAACTGTTTAAACATTTATATGCTTACTATTTTAGATGATGGTATTCGAATTAAAATGCAAAAAAAATCGTTTATCAGAGAGGAACATTTTAAAATATAACTACGTAGAGTACATAATCGACCACTACCCTGTAACTGTTTGCGGAGCTTACATTCTATCTTTTTCCGTGGATAAAGAGAAGAGCGTTCTCCGATAGAAAAGTCCATTCTGGTGTAATTTATTACGGCATTTGTAAAATATTTAAGGGATATTTGGCAAACGTTATTTTTTAAT